AAAAATGTAGCTGGCGGGTTGACGGGGTCAAAACAATAACGCTTCAAACAGGAGGGCATTTCAATCCCAGCAAAAAAATACAAAACAAAACAATTAAGAAAAACAGAGCGGGGTAGTGATGATTCGAACAGGGGTGCAATTAAATCTCTGCAAAAAGTCTAAAAAGTAGCGGGGGGGGTTGGGGGGGGGCGGCAGCCCCCCCATGATGTTCGAAGAATTGATGATTCAATTAGGGGTGCAATTAATTAAATCTCTGTAGAAAATCTAAAACGTAGCGGGGGGGTTGGGGGGGGGGGCGGCAGCCCCCCCATGATGTCGGAAGAAGTGGTGATTCAAGTAGGGATGCAATGATTCAAGAAAGGGTGTGATAGAATTTAAAAGGCCGCGGTAAGGTTGGCGGGGGTGGCTTCCCCTATGATGTTCGAAGAAATGCATACATACAGACATACACGGACTACACAGATTACCTCAAATGTCGTATTTTGCAGCATTTTCTCGCGAAATTGGACGCTCGAAAAAGTGATAATTCAAACAGGGGTGCAATTCAATCTCTGCCGGGCCAGTAAAGTGTCGTATTTTACAGCATGTTCTCGCGAAATATACCCCGCATGTCCCACCAACATCCCTAGCATCACCCACAAATCGTGTGACGGGGTCAAAGAAATGATGATTCAAGTAGGAGGGCATGTCAATCCCTGTAAAAAAAATAAAAAGTAGCGGGGGGGTTGGGGGGGGCGGCAGCCCCCCCCACGATGTTGTTTGCAGAAGTGATGATTTGAATAGGGGTGCAATTAAATCTCTGCAAGAAGTCTAAAAAGTAGCGGGGGGGTTGGGGGGGGGCGGCAGCCCCCCCATGATGTTCGAAGAATTGATGATTCAATTAGGGGGGCAATTAATTAAATCTCTGTAGAAAATCTAAAACGTAGCGGGGGGGCGGCAGCCCCCCCATGATGTCGGAAGAAGTGGTGATTCAAGTAGGGGTGCAATGATTCAAGAAAGGGTGTGATAGTGTTCGAAGAAATGCATACATACAGACATACACGGACTACACAGATTACCTCAAATGTCGTATTTTGCAGCATTTTCTCGCGAAATTGGACGCTCGAAAAAGTGATAATTCAAACAGGGGTGCAATTCAATCTCTGCTGGGCCAGTAAAGTGTAGCATGTTCTCGCGAAATTGACACATTTTACACTAGCCCGTCAACATCCCCCGCATGTCCCACCAACATCCCTAGCATCACCCACAAATCGTGTGACGGGATCAAAGAAATGATGATTCAAGTAGGAGGGCATGTCAATCCCTGTAAAAAAATATAAAAGTAGCGGGGGGGTTGGGAGGGGGGCGGCAGCCCCCCCCACGATGTTGTTTGCAGAAGTGATGATTTGAATAGGGGTGCAATTAAATCTCTGCAAAAAGTCTAAAAAGTAGCGGGGGGGTTGGGGGGGGCGGCAGCCCCCCCCCATGATGGTCGAAGAATTGATGATTCAACTAGGGGTGCAACCCCCCCATGATGTTCGAAGAATTGATGATTCAACTAGGGGTGCAACTAATTAAATCTCTGCAGAAAATCTAAAACGTAGCGGGGGGGTTGGGGGGGGCGGCAGCCCCCCCCATGATGTCGGAAAAACGCCACCTGCCGAAGAGGAACTGGGAATGCAGAGGATGCGAAAAGCCAAAAAGCCACCAAAAGCCGCATAAACGAGCAAAAAGCCCAGAAGCCCAGAAGCCGAGAAGCCAAGAAGCCGAAAAGCCGAAAAGCCAAGAAGCCAAGAAGCCAAGAAGCCAAGAAACCAAGAAGCCAAAAAGCCAAGAAGCCCAGAAGCCGAGAAGCCGAGAAGCCAAGAAGCCAGGAAGCCGAAAAGCCAAGAAGCCAAGAAGCCGAGAAGCCGAGAAGCCAAGAAGCCAAGAAGCCAAGAAGCCGAGAAGCCAAGAAGCCAAGAAGCCAAGAAGCCAAGAAGCCAAGAAGCCAGAAACGAAAAAAATTCCCAAAAAAAAACGAAAAAAAAATCCTAAAATAAATACCCCTCCGTTTTCAATGCTCCATAAGGTGTTAACTTGCACGAGCTCAGGCCTTTTTTGCAATCCACTGCAACAAGCGTTCCACGCTTCCCAAAACGGCTGTGAGTGCAGGTTGCAGGTACGAAGCGCTCTTGATCAAACTGGGGCATGAAAACGGCGGCTCACTTGGGGCAATAGCAGCCCCCAAGTGAGCTGTCGTGTTCATGCCCCAGTTTGATCAAACACGTTTCGTTTCTGCAACCTGTACTCACAACCGTTGTTGGAAGCCCGGAACGCATCTTGCTGTGACAAGGCCTTGCAACAAGGTCGGGAACCGAGCTCGACTTTCCAAACCAAGGGTTGAAATTGAACAAAGCTGGGCTAACGTCAGTTTCTGCGCACCCGTAGCGCCAATATGAAGAAACTCGGTTCATTTGTTGAGACCCCGCAAATGGGGGGGCATGAGTGTGCCGCGTTTGGTGCAAACAGTCCCAGTCTCCGATCTCATCACCGAGATGGGTGATAGGAGGCAGCAGCAAACATGTCAAGACTCACGACTCCTCGGGACTTTTTTTCTTCCAACTGAGTCCGCCAAGTCCCAACCACTTTCTAACTTCGACAGTTTCTCCAAACTCGGGCTGTTGCGATTGGAGAATCTCCGAACTATGGCCCGTTGTCTCCAAACTCAGTGAGGGCAGTTTGGAGATACTCCAAACTCAGGCTCGTAATCTCCAAACTCTAGCCTCTAGCCAATTTCTCCCAACTCAACCTCAGGCCCATTGGGGCCTGCGTTCACTCTTTAAAGTCAGGCTCCTTTTCTCCAAAGTCAGCCTTTTTTTCTCCAACTCAGCCCGTTTTCTCCAAACCGTGGATGACTTTGCAGATTCTCTAAACTGAGGCAGAATCTCCAAGCGCACCGCCCAAGGTTGGAATCACGGACCTGAGGTTGGAGATTCTCCAAACTCGAACCGAGTATCGAATTTTGGCAAACTCGGGCCCGAGTTTGGAGAAAAAGGGCTCGAGTTTGGAGATTCTCCAAACTCAGGCCCGTTTTCTCCAAACTCGGGATGAGTTTGGAAATTCCCTAATCTCGGACGGATAATCTCCAAACTTAGGCCTGCGTTCGGAGATTCTCCAAACTCAGTTTGGAGATTCTCCAAACTCAGTTTGGAGATGCTCCAAACGCCGGCCCATTTCCTCCAAACTCGGGTGCGCTTGGAGACTCCGAGATTCTCCAAGCTCGGGCGCGAGTTTGGAGAAAACGGGCCTGAGTTTGGAGATTCTCCAAACTCGGGCAGGTTTTCTCCAACCTCGGGCTGAGTTTGGAGATTCTCCAAACTCCAAATTTCAATGTGTTTTTCTCCTGCAGAACGCTTATTTTGCCTGAAATTTCCATCCGAACGCTTATTTTCTCCACCAAAACACTTGCTGAACGCTTCTTCGCGTGTTTCACAAAAGGAGTTTGGAGAAAACGGGCCTGAGTTTGGAGATTCTCCGAACTCAGGCCCGTTTTCTCCAAACTCGGGGTGAGTTTGGAGATTCTCCGAACTCGGGCCTGGTTTCTCCAAACTCGGGGTGAGTTTGGAGATTCTCCAAACTTAGGCCCGTTGTCTCCGAGCTCTGAGTCCAAACTCTGAGTTGGGAGATTCTCCGAACTCGGGCCCGTTTTCTCCAAAATCGGGGTGAGTTTGGAGATTCTCCAAACTTAGGCCCGTTTTCTGCAAAATCGGGGTGAGTTTGGAGATTCTCCGAACTTGGGCCTGTTTTCTCAAAACTCGGGCTGAGTTTGCGGATTCTTCAAAGTCAGGCTTGTTTTCTGCAAACTCAGGTTCAGTTTAGAAGTTCTCCAACCTCGGGCCCTGTTCCTCCATTTTCAAACTCGGAGACCTTCTTGGCTTCGTACAAAGAGTTTGGACTAACCAGGACTGGCAAGTCTTTTTCAAACTCAGGCCCATTTTCTGCAAACTGGGGCCTGCGTTTGGAGATTCTCCAAACTCAGTTCGTTTCTCCAAACTCGGCCCGGGCTTGAGATGATTCTCCAAACTCAGTCAGGGCTGTTTTCTCCAAAGTTGGCTTGAGTTTGGATAATCTTCACGCTCAGGCCCGTGTTTTGCAAACTCGCCTGGCTTTGCTTGCGAAGACGCGTTTCGCAAATGTATTGGTGGCGACTATCCGCTTTTCGATGGAAATTGAATGGGTCAAACAAGGGGTTTGTTTGGTCAATATAGACAAGACTAAGTTCGGCAAATGTCGAAACTCAGGCTGAGTAAAGGCCAACTTTAGGGACCCCCAAATTGATTTCTCAGGGCTGAGTTAGGAGAAAGCGAGCTTAAGTTTGGAGAGCTTGGAACATCTCCAAGCTCAGGCTAAGACGTGGAGAAAAGCAAGCCTAAAATTGGGGCACATTCCAAACTCATCCATATATTGGAAACCTGAAGGCGAACTTACAAGCGAGCATTATCCTCAGAAATCTGCAACTCCCCAAGGAAAAGGGCTGCGCCATCGTGATGTAGTCACTTGCATTACCCTATTCCAGAACACTGCTCGGAGCAAATGGGAGCAGCGCTTCCCGAGACAAGCTTGCTAAGGTATGTCCGCATGTTTTGACAGAGATTTGGAGTCCTTGTTTGGCGTGTGTTTTGCTGGCACAAGGCTTGATTGGCCCGGATAGCATTGAAACGGCATGCTGTGGCATGGTCCAAGCGGTCTTGGCGTGTGGGGTTACCGGTTGAAAACCTTTGTGTTTTTTGGTTGAAAAAACGTAATCTGAGCTGCTTGAGGCACTGGAAGAGTGGTGGTGTGCGCGATTTTTTCTGAAGCCCTTAGAACGCTTCTACAAACTATTCCCCGGGACTTCGCGCAAGTTAACACCATAAGGTATCGAATCACACTTTGGGCGGATTGCGGATTAAGGCGGTTCTCGACCAGAACAAGGATTATTAAGTGGATTACAAATGGATGTGCCTTTTTGGGGGGACGCCCTAAAATGACTGATTTTCCTCTTGGTGCTCTTTAAACCAACCCAACGGGATTAGGAATTTTGGGTTGTATGAGTTTTCAACTCTCCATAAGGTTTCGAATATTGCTTTGCTGCGCAGATTGCGGATTGAGACGATTCTCGACCTGAACAAGGACTTCGCGGATCACAAATGGAAGTGCCTTTTTCTGGGGCATGACGAAAATGGCTGGCTTTCCTCCTTTAAACCAACCCAAAATGGGGTCGGTACCCCCCAAAACAAAGATGCATATGGCTAGGAGAAGAATTGGGGAACCTTTGCCAAAGTGGAGCGGGACATGAATCCCCGAATGCTGTCCACCAAGGGTCCCTAATGAACATTCATACTCATCGAGTGCGTAACAAACAGTTGGCATAGGAACACTATAGCACACTTGTGGACATTTCAACCAGGAAATGGGTAGGCCACATTTGGGTCCGTGTGCGAACTAAACGATACTCAATTGACACTGATTTCCTGTTGGTGTCCCTTTAAACATATACAATGCGGAGTCCTCTATTTTGAGAAATCCCGAGATCCCCTATGTAGACATGAGGGTTTGGCCAGCAAGATTTGCGAATATGTAACGTGCGCGTTTCACAAAAACAGATGTGGAACCCCTAAAGATGGTTGGAAACCCTGTGGTATTTCCCACAAGAAACGTGAAATATGTTCTCAAAATATGACCCCCCCCCCGCCGCCAATGGGGGAAGAACTGCGGGCGGTGACGAGCGGGGCCAACCACCTTGAACATTTTTTGTGGACAAGATCGGGGGTACCCCGATTTTTATCGTACAGCCTTTTGGGCAAACACATCAACAAAGTCAGCAAGAGCCAACCCGCGATTTTCAAGCAGTAGCAACGGATGAGGTTCCAAAGGGGGCAAGGGCGAATGTCATGTACCCAGAGTTCAAGCTGTAACTAAGCTATCAAACTATGACAAACAATCTAACAAAAACCAGCACAAAACCACGCGGCATCCGAATACTAGGCCAGCTATAATAATCAAGGAACACTTTGATGGTCAAATACGTGGCCGACCATGAGCAAACCCAAAGCCCATAGCCCAACAGTAAATAAAGAATGAATATGTTATAAGCAAAGAAACATGGACAAATGACCAAACACAAGCAAACAAACAAGGGCAACTGCACTTTTGACGACGCCCGTGCGGGCCCCTGTGTCCAAGCCCCACCCGTGGTCGCGAACAAACTAAAGTTCGAAGGAAAATAATGTACATCAGTGAACGCGTGTGTTCTTGAGGCTCGGTACCGCTTTCAGGGTTGTTTTTAGAACATCCCAAAAGATAACCGAAATGCATGTTTGCCACTCCAAATCTTTGTTTGGGTTTGTCTCAACAAGGGTCCGTTTTCTTTTGTTTCCCATGAACACCAACCCCCACAAGGGTATCCTTGAACAATACCATCTTCCCTGTTGGTTTCCCTTTGAAACCACCCAACATGTTGTCCATGATTAAAAGGAACAACAGCAAAGGCAACACAAACATCCAACATGTTGTCCATAAGACAAAAGAGCGAGAGACACACCCATAGACTCTGCCGTCAAAACTTTCAGCACATGGGAAACAGCTATCTATCATTTAGAGGCCTTGAACGGCATATTGATCAACCCCCAAAACTTGCTGGTGCTCAGGGAATGAGAAATGGAATGACCCCAATTTACACCATCCAACTGTTGGTTTCCCTTCTTCGGGACTCCCCGGTTCTCATTCCCTGCCAATTTCGCACCGATCGCAACATGACTAGAGTTAGGCCACCAGTTATAGAATGTATATTCTATTCTTTGCTTCCCTTTGAGCCACTGGCAAAATAACAAACATGTCGCAAAACCTATCCCAAAGTCCGAAATGTAACTGGCGCAACATGTCACTGCCCATGGTCCCTGCAAGTCCCCGAGCTCCGAAGCTCCGATTTTTCTCTCCCGGGCGCCAGCTTGGACTTCAGCGCGCCCCGGAGCACCGTAAGGGGCACCAGCTCTCCCAGGGGCTGTGGCTTCGTGGCCTGGGAAAAGGGGCCCTGGGATCGATCCCTTTCGGCTTTTCCCGGGTGGATCAAAAGGTCCGGGAAAAGCCGCCCAGAGGGATGAGATGTCCCACCAAAAATGGGGAAAGTGACCCAAAGGTCCGTACCTGATGTCCCCCTTTTGATGGGAAAAGTGACCCAAAGTCGCCTTGATGGAAAGCTCGTTTTTAGGGCACTCCCCTAAAATGGTTGGCAACTGTTGGTTTCAGATTTGGGTCTGAATGTGGAAAAAGGGGACTTTGGTGGACACGATTTGGGGTTCCATGTCCGCCAACCGCTTTGGAGGGGTCCCTATTGACATTCATAGCCATATGCATGATTTTTAGGGCACTGCTCAAAACTGGTTGGCAACTGTTTGTTTTCCAATTAAGCCACCAAACACGGGGCATATTTAATAGACCGCAAATGGGGGTTAGAGTATTTGGGGGCCAAACCCCAAAACCGTGCGAAGAACTAGGGTTGGGTGTGTTTGATTGAAAGAATGGACCCTTGACAATAGAATGTGGGGTTCATGCTCACCAACCTCAAGAATGACTCATGTGTAACCACATCCTACCAGGCTTTCTCTTGTTCCTCTTGTAACATTTGGGTGTCTTTCTAAGGTTTGGAACCGCAACATGGTGGGTTCCTTCTTGATGCTCCTTGAAACCCATAACAAATGGGTAGACTCATAAAAGACTCCCATTTGCGTTAGCCAAACCCGCGTAGTGCATCGACGACGCCAAATTACCAGAACCAGCATGCGCACAAACACAATACAGCGCAAAACACCGAAACAAATACAACTAAAAAACAAACGACTGCACACAAACACACCAAACAAAAAACCAAAGACTCAAACCAATCTAGCCCACTATATTAAAACAACGCCCAACAAAAAACAACAATAAAAACAACAAAAAGCAGCCAACACCCCAAACCTCACCCAACATTTTTCTATCACGCAACAGCCCAAGGCGACGTGCACAAGCGGCCGGGCCTCCAGCACTGCTGCAAAGGGCGCCAGCTCGGCGCGCTCCGGCAGCTCCAGCCTGGGATGTGAGTGGCAGCAGCCGCGGTTCGTTTCACCAAAAAACCCAAGGGCTCCTTGGAGCCTCCGGAAAAATCTAGGGGCAACCCTCCATGTCCATTCTGAACCCAAGCATCCTTCTTTCAAACCACCCAAAACCATAGGGGAAACAGCTGGTTTTTGAAAAGAACGATGAAGCCAAGGGCTCCTTGGAGCCTCCAAAAAGGTTTGGCAGATGAATCCACGTGGTCTATCCACATGTCTTGCGCAGATTCGCACTTTCCATCGAGTCGATCTCAGCCTTGGGGGTCCTTTTTGGAAAAATTGATGGCCCTGGTAGTTGATTGAACCACCAGGTAAACCAGGAATCGCCCTCTATGTTTCAACCAAATCAACCAAAAAGGACACCTATGCTCCAAAAAGGTTTGGCAGCCACAAGGCTCAACCACCTCAAGGTTGGCACAACCCAAACCAAAAACCCACTACCTCGGAGTTGCCAACATTAAATCCAATAACCACCTGCATTACACCGGGGTCCTTGATGGTAAAGGTGAAGCCACCTGATTGGTGATCAAACCCTGATATCAAAATGGTCTGCCCAATAGCCATGAAATTAAAGGTGAGCCTGACTGATAATCACACCCTGGTATATGCTCTTCCCAAAGCGCAGGATAACCTTCACTTTGGCTTGCTAAAAGGCGAGTAAATCACAGGACCTTGCCATCTGTGCCGTAAGTTCTACCGGACTTAGACACCCAAAAGACCCGTGAACTCCGAGTTCTGCTCCCTTTAAGGGCAAATGACGGCAAAACCGGAAAGGCAAGTGCCGAACAAGCAAAGCAAGGCCAGCTTTTCACAGGGTCCCTTCTGTGTGGAGTCAAAGTCATGGTTCCCGTGAGGATTCTGGTCATTCTGAAAGTACCTCAGGGATCCCTCTAGGATTCCTTGTATGGGTGTGTGTGTGTGTGCGTGTGTCTCTCAAAATGCAAAGTCATCAGCTTCCTTTATGATTTCCCTAAAAAGGGATGGTTTGGGTCTCGTTACTCAAACCCTTTTTGCCCAACCCGGGTTGGCAAGTTTTATGGACACCCAACAGGGAAGTTGAAGGTACTGCAACCAGCACGGTGCGAAGAAGAAAAAAACTTCCACCTTCCCGGGTTTCATTGTGACTCATATGTCGTTTGAGATTAGATGAACTGAAATGGCTTAAATGCATTTTGAGCTGGGTACAAACCATGGCATCTCTGTCTCCGTGGTGTTGGAAAACTGATTCTTTGCTGTGATACTTGGAGCGGGGCACACTCTGTGTGGGAAATACGAATGGCATGTCCATCTCTATCACTGCTGCACCACGAAGTCGGGGGTTCCCTTGACATCGCAGAAAGTGGGCCCGCTGCCGCCACCCCCCGTGTGTTCCACAGCGGTAGTCAAAAAAGGCAACCTAGGACATGCACTCATGCAACACAAACGGAAAACGAAAATGCCAAAAGGGTCGCATTGTTGATACCCCTTTCCCCAGGATTCACGCTACAGGAAAGCAGGTGGGGATCCGGGAACACCAAATACTGTTCTGAGTCTGCCTCACATTTATTCAACCTCAACATCTGACCTATTTCGTGAGACTCCACACATACACAACAAGCAATAGATTGGTAGCAGTTGGCAGCAAAGTCGAAATTATCTGACTGTTGGTATACATCTTTCAGGTTTGGATTGGTGGTTTGGTGGTGGAGGCGGGGTTCAAATCCCCAAACCACAAATCCAGAGTGAGGCTGAATATTCAATATATATATAATTCCGATGAATTAACTTTCCAATCTACGTGTCAGGTATGAACTTGACAATCGTACCAGGCCGGCTAAGCCGACCATGGGGTGATCTTCACGCGTGGAGGACCGCTTCAAGAAATGATGACATCTATATAGACAAAGAAGCAACAGGCAGCGCAAGCGTCCGGCCAGGTCACGCCTCCTCCGTCGCTTGCCATCCCAGCGCCTCCAGACCGCTCCGCGCCGCCGGCAGGGCCAGCAAGGCAGCGATGCGGGCGTTGCCCGTCTTCAGCTTCCGGAACTTGGGCTCCTGGATCCAAAGTTCCAAGCTGTGGCTCAAAGATGCAAATGGCACCCTGGCGAAATGGAAAAGACGAAAACCCGCGCAACCCGACCTGGCTCTTTAATTTTCAGCCGCACCCAAGTGGCTGTGGGTCAAAACCAATGGTAGCCCTGGTTAACATCAAAACAGCTGGCGAATGGATGTTCGTCCCCAAAATGGGGCCATAGGTTATGCCCCATGGCCAAGTTGCATCTCGGGCCCCGGTTGACTTTAGAGGCGCGCTCCTGGCAGCCCGGGTGGATTTCCGATTTTCCGATGGTCCGTCTTCAAATGCCCTGAGAGTGGATCGAACTGGTGGGTTCAATGGCGACAAAAAAAAACTGAAATCTTTCGATGGCTGGAACCGCCAAGTTTAGAGGTTTTCGGGGCTGTGATTGTGGTTCCAAGTTTTGATCCCCCAAAGCTGTACGTGGCGGAAAGAAAGGGGCGGGCTGTTTACTTTCAAGGGAGCCCTTGCACCTTCGTGCTTTCTGATTGATCTCCTTTGGATTTTATGTTGATTGCTCTTTGGCTGTTCCTGGTTGGGATAATTTGGTTATTTGTTCTTTCTCGGGTTGCGAGAGACCAAGTTTCATTTCTGATTTATCTTTCCCAGTGGAGACCAGCCAAGTTGGCAACCAGCCATATTCCCTTGAACGACGCTACAAAGAAAGGGAATCACTCGCTTTGATTTGCCCTTTGAAGCGGCTCGTTCCCTGTGTGTCCTTTTAGTTCCCTCTGGCGTTCACTTTTCGGACTTCTTCGTTCTTTGGTCCTGTTCACTGTCTCCCATCTCCTTGGGGCTGATCCACCACACATGGATTTCCTCCTAAAATGGAACGCCCCACCACGCTGGGTATATTGAAACCTGCTTTGATGTGTTTGATCTCCAGCACCAACCATCCATCAACTCATCTGGGTGTTTGTTTTTAGGATGAAAAGAAGTAAAATATATGGTGGTGTCCTTTTGGCTTTCCTTGAAAGGTCATTCAACCAAGGGGTACCAACTCCAAAAAAGAAACTCGAGCAAACCCATCTCTGGTCGCCTTGGGATTCTCCACCACGTTCTGCAGCACTTTCCTCAGGAGTTCCAGTTGTTCCAAGGGCCACGCTTTGGCCTCGCGCTGCATGCGCTCCACCTCCGCGTCACCCATGACCACGTCCATCGGAAGTTTTCCGAATTCGGATCGGGGATCCGATCACACGGGCATGGATGCCACGGAAAAGGAAGGCCTTACCCGAGGCTTGGGCGGTGTAGGTTTGGTTTGGGGGAAAAGGCAGTTTGAGGGGTTCTCAAACTATTGTTGGGGCTGGGAAACCCTTTTTGAACCATCATGAGGTTTTGACTGGAAAATGCACCCGGGAAAACTAGAAAAAAAAGGTTCCCTGAGGTAAGGTTTCGAGCAGGTTTTGAAGGCCTTGCCACACCTGGCCGAGGGTGAATCTAAGCGGATAGAGCTTGCCTTCAAACGCATGATTTGGCTCTTGGTCGCATTTTCTGTCGACTAACCAGCGGGAGATTCTCAACAAAATACACCCAAGATCACCCAAGTTGACCTTGCTGCTGGGCCGCATCTTCAGGTCTTCAGCGGAACTCATCTCTGCTGACTGTCACTTGCGTATGCAACACGCGGCTCTAACAAAGGCAAGCTGTCAGTAGGTCTGAAACACAAGTGAGAGGTGGTTCAGTTGAAGCTAGCGCTGCAATTTTGAAGCTGGGACGGCCATCGAGCGAAGGGTACGCGACTTCGAAGCGAGAACATGTTGTGTTCCTGAAAAAGCTCACTATTGTGCATCGCTTCTTTCATGCCTCGTCTTCCCCTACATCACTGAAAGTAACAAAGGCATCTTCCATCACGCGGCCAGTGGCCAACATGGCCAACGCACTTTGTGCAAAGTTGAATGGCTCCGCAATGTCAATCAAGATCCCAATTTCTGCAATCATTCCAGAACCTAAAACAAGGGAACCCCCCAAGTAAGCGACCAGTACCCGGCATGCTCGGTTTGACCCAAGTCGGCAAGCTCGCCAGAAATCAGGCAGAAGTGGGTAGTCCACGCCCTTGCGCGAACAGTCGATACACTCCAGGTACATGAAAGCTGCAAACAATTCCTCATGTTTAGAGGAAACTTTTGTGGGAGACCCCCCTCTCTGGGTTTCATGTGAAGTTCTCGAAGTCCTGGACGCGAACCAAGTTCCACTTCAGCGCGAGACATCTTTGTGTCCGGTTCTTTTGGGCAACGAATCCTTTCGATTGCTACATCATTGTTTGCCGCGAGAGAAACAAATGAACCCGCTTCAATCCCGAACGGGTCTAACAACCGCATGTATGAAAGGAGAGAACTCGATTTGTATTCCTCCAAGCTCTTGATCCCCACCTCTACCTCTGTTTAGGCACTGTCAAGCCTGTGCACGTTGCCTCAAGACCCAAGAAGTTTGAACCTGTGGGGTGTTGCCGGAACTGTCTTTTTGAGCTCCTTCCCCCTTCCCTCCCAAGACCATAGACCACAGGAAATGTTCACAGGACTACAGGGACCGCGCAACTGGTTGGTTTCAGTGTTGGCTTCCATTAAACGCAACCCAACAAGGGTACCAACTCCAAAAAGTCACTCCCCTACTGGCCTTATGTTGCTTGCTTGGACAAACCAATGGAGGGCCCATGTTTTGAGCGTGAACCGGTATCTTCGTGGTCCATTGACACCCTTGCCTTTGCTTCTTCAAGCGGGACATGTCAGAAATCCCTCTACCTCTAAGGGTCGAAAAGTACGGGTATGAAGGAACACGGCTCTGTCTTGCTGTCAGGGTACCCTTTTTGGTGGTGTTAAAGGAAATCCAAAACAACAGGACAACCACCCATTATTTTGGGGGCCCCTATGTTAAGGCACACCCACATGATCTGGGGACCAGGGAAAATCCTCGCAGGCTGCAGCTCTCAGGGCTCAACGATTCAGCTGTCAAGCGGATCCGGCAGCGCTCCCTCGCTCACGTCCAGGCGGGCGAAGAGCGGAAGCCTTGGGAAGCTCATGGGTGGAGGGGCGGGGTGTGGGGAGGGGGGGGTAGGGAAGCTGCAACATATAAATATAAACTCAACACTCTATTTATACCAAAGTAAACAAACAGTGCTTTAGAGTGCCGTTCTCACCAGCTGGGTCCATAGAAAGGACCATAATATATACTATTACATATATATATATGCACATATATAAATACACTATGCATATATATATATGTACATATATAAATACACTATGCATGTATACATATATATATATACATATGTACAAATACATATATACATATATAGTATGTATATATATATATATGCGTATATGCTACCCCTCCAGGACCAAGGCCTTGCTGTTGCTGGACCAGTGTTGGCAGATGGATGACACTGCTCTGGCAATTGGAATGCCGCGGGCTATCATACGTATATAGTACACGTACATCACGTAGTTGCATGTGCGCAAGTACCATGTGTACGCGAAAGTAAATCACACATATGTATATGCTGTCTTGTATTTATATATATATACATATTTGTATGTGCAATGTGTACATAACTATTGTCGCGTTCATAAGAAGGTGTACTAACCATGGCAAGCCGGGTCAACACATGTCTGGACGGGCATGTTGATATGCTCCTTACCAAGCACCATCTGAACACCACGTTTGGTGCGCCCAAAGTTGGAATCCCAGGATCCCCCGGGGTTCAACACTTTTTAGAAGATGATTCCAAACTCAGGCGGACGCACGACATTGCAGACAACACAAGTCAGGGCCTGAACAACATGTGACATCGTGAACATCAGTGTACCATGGCTTGCCTCGAGCACGAAACTCCAGCAGGCTAGTTGTCAAGAAACTACCGTCGACCAGCAAAAGCAATGACGTATAGCATTCGCTTCTTCAAAAAGTACAATGATAAATAGGTTACGCTCCTGGGCTATGACAATAAGTATCCGAAAGAGAGCAACCAAAGTTTCCAACGATCGGCTCACTTTGGGCCGTGCATATGTTCAGCACGGTCAAACTCCTCGCATGTAAAAGAACACATTCTTTGTAAGGTTGAAGTCGACACATAAGCTTCCCTTTGACTACCTGACTAACATCCGTACACATGGGACACATCTATTGGTGCATAGCCTGGTGTTCCCTATGGACTCATAGACATCACCTCTCAATGCAGAATAGTTAGCAAAGCTGATCTAATACATGATGTCTAGGCAAACCGCCGATATTTCGCAACCCAACTGGCATGGATGAAGCCCTATGAATGAGGGGATAAACAAACAACCAACTGGTTCCAAACGGAATTGTCCGCAGTGTTCAAACTACGCATGATGTGTCGACATCTGTAAATGGTCAAGGGGGAGGATCCAACTCGTTCTGCTACATCTTCAAATTTTACACTAAGTCCAACATCTGAATAAGGAATCCCTGAGTAAAGGGACCTTCCTAAGGTGAGGTCATTTGGCCCCCAGCTCGCAATAGGCAAACCAATAATTATTCTCGTGCGAGGGTCAGGCTTCTCTGTGTCAGGGCCTAAAGCTTGCCACTCCTCAAAGGCATAAACCATTAAACGGAAGCCCGGCTTCGGCCGATGCAAGCAAAGTCTGGCTGGCAAAGCTTTGTAGTGAGCCATGGTCAAAACCCCCGTTTCTATGGTCTATGGCCACGGTTTCCGCAACATCAGTATAGCCTCACTAGCTGGATAAACATCCCTGTTAACCCCAAGTAAAGGGTCTTTTGACAACGGCACGTCTACAAAACTCTAGGGTTACATGGACTCCCCATTCTTTTCAACCATCTTTCTTTTCAAAAACCGATCACTGCTTCCCCTGCGCTTTTTGAGTTTCCTGAAAAGAAGGATCCCTGGAAAGAATGTCCAGGGAAGCTTGCTCTAGGACTTCGAACCGAAAATGGGGGAGCTGTCTTCTTTTGGGACAAACATACTTCCAATAGTGATAGATTCCGTTTGAAACCAACAGGGGAACATAAACTAGGTCCTCCAGTAGAGAGGTTAGAATAAGTTGGTACCCTTTTTCTATAGTCTATTTTAGTAGGGGAACCGAATCTCCCAACCAAAAAGGGGTGAGAAAGGGCCCCTAGCTGGGGACCTTGACTAGAAGAATGATTACCCATGCAGATTTGGGGGCCATAAAACAGGGGACATAAAACATATTAATTTCAGCAAATGAAAAAGTCAAAGGTACCGCCGAGAGCCGTATGCAGTCCGAGACGCTGCGTATTGCTGCGCCTTGGCGGCAGAAGGGGCGGCTCCCCGAGGACCACATGCCACCTGGGCACGGTTTGCACTGACCTGAGTTGTTTGTTTTTGTGTTTTTTTGTCTTTCATGTTGCTTATTATTTTTTGCTTGTGGTTTGCGTATGTGGCGGTGGCTCCAAAAACAGGTGCCAAAATGGGTTGCCCTGGTAAGTGGAAACATGGACCAAAACCTGCGTAACCCCTCCTGTTTAGTCTTGAGCCACACCCATGTGTGTTTGCTTCATGTCATGTTTTCAATTCTCCAGTTCGTCGTGTCTTTGTTTTTGCATTGTTGCCTTTGTCTCTCATTGCTGCTTGTTGGTTTCATGCTTCTGTTTTGTATGTGTGTTTGTTTGTTTTTACTTGTATGTAGGTGTGTTTGTTGCTCGCTTGCTTTCTTACATGCTTGCTTGTTTGTTTGCTTATTTGCTTGCTTGTACGCTGGTTTGTTTGGCTTTGAGATGGGACCCCCAACTGGTCTTGCCGGCTTCCCTTTGGCCGATGTTCTGGACACTGGCTTCGGTTGCATTTGGAAACTCCGATGCTGAGAAACGAGCTCCGAAGGTTGTTTGGGTCCCAAGTCATCTGCCCATTTGAGTGAACTCTTGTGGGTGGTGGTTCCCTTAGGAACCCTTGCCATGTAACATCCCTGGGGATCCATGGCGCAGTTGAGTCACAAACAAAACCGGGTATGCAAGGAGTCTGCCCGAAACATATCTACTCTAAAGAAGTAAAAGGGCGGATCTCCGGACCTATGGTTGGAACCGTCCTCTCCTACCCGGCGTTTGCTGTGGCTCATTGTGGGGCGACCCCGGAAGCTCTTGGCCTTGTGACTCCTCGGATTCCCTCCAAAGGTCTTTGCCACTATAGTCACTGGCAGCCAAGGGAACGATGCAAAACCAAAAGCCGAACTCTGGTTACAAAGTGGGAATTCGTGGGCTTGGTAACGTAATAACCCACTCTGTTGCAACCATGCCTCCCAAAACTTCAGCTTTCTGAGAATCACAGACCAGCCTCCACCAAGTAATTCCATTTGCAAAATGCTTACAAATCAGGTGCCAAGGAGTACCTTGAACCGAACCTCTGCAAAGTCAGCAAGAATAACGCTCCCAATCCCATGTGTGTCAAGATATGGGGACCCATCAATGGTGGTTATTTTTATTCTTCTTCATCCTTTTCTTCTTCTTCTTCTTCTTCTTCTTCTTCTTCTTCTTCTTCTTCTCTCTTCTTCTTCTTCTTCTTCTCTCTTCTTCCTATTATTTTTATTCTTCTTCTTCTCCTTCTCCTTCGTCTTCACCTTATTAGCACCATCCCAAAACGGGGTACCCTTAAAACACGCACACGGCGATGACACCTGCAGGCGTCCGAGTGCTGAAAGCCCACCAACCCGATGACCGCAGCCCAATATCCGAGGCGGGGAGCAGGTGCTCGAAGAGAGCGGACACGGCGATGCGCGGCCGGGGGTCGTAGTGGATGTCCTGCCGCGGCCGGGAATCCCTCAGCGCTATGCCATCCAAAATAGCGTGAGTAATGGAAGCCACCATGGATCATCGAATGGCAGGTTTCTGCAATTTTCACCAGAATCTGCCACCCAAAATAAACCCAAAATAGCGTATCCCAAATAGCACAATTTGAAGTAGCCGCAAGCGGATTCAAAGAAAGACGCAGGATGGATTCTCCAAGTGGCTATGGTGGAAATTGCAGAAATAGCGGGAGTCATGGAAGCAACCCATGGGATCATCGTATGCAGGCACCATACCCACTTGGAGAATCCATCCTTTCCTTCGGCTGCTTCAAGGTTTCCGGGGCGGCTAGTTATCTAGCGGGCATGTTGTGGTTGGTTTCAAGGAAACCCAAGGCACAATCTTTTGGGGGATTCAAAGCAAAAGCGGGAAGTGTGTGCGTGTGTGTGTCTGTGTGTTACGTGTTTTTCTAACAGTGGGGTTTGACAGGGATGCTTCAAAGACCTTATGGGTAGAAAGAAATATGCTCAGGTGGTTTCAGCAACAGGCCCGACAAGCACACCCCTCTCAACGGTCAGTCCTACCAAAAGACAACAAAAGGATCCAATTACTGCCAACTTATCGTCTGGTCATTGTTTTGAGGTTCGGAGCAACCTTGTTTAGCGGAAGCCAAAGGGAAACCACATTTGTTTACGGGGACTGGTCCCCGATTGAGAGACGAACTCAACTGCACACAAAGACTCCAAAACCTCAATGCCAGTGGAACCTTAAGCGCGACAAAGCACCTGACAAGGCCTAATGGTGTCCCTCTTGGTTTTAAACCAACCTGAAAAAGACCTGTCTGTTTGTCACGGCCTACCCAGTACAAAGTCCAGGCCATAGGTGACCAAAACTGGACAGAGATGGATGGGTTCCCTGGTAAATAGGAAAACAAACTTTCATTAGCCAGCAGAGCCCATCTGTTTCTAACCAAACCAACCTAAACAGGAGGACACCCATGGTCCAAACACTGGAACAGTGAGAAATGTGCCTTTTCTTTCAAGACCCTCTTGCCCAAGCTCGCTGAATTCCTATGGGTCGCTCTCATGTCGACTCCGGATTGACCTGTTGGACTAACAGCGGCGGAACTGAAAACAACGGGAAACCCTAAATTCATCAACCAGGGGATAGTCCAGGGTTCCTATTACAACAGAGTGGCACTTGTTTTTGCAAGCTAATGTCCAAAACATTGCCGCTGAGCCAATTTCACTGCAACTTGGTTTAACCATTGACACCTCGCAACACCAGAAGCCATGACAACCTTACCTGCGAAGACTGCTGTATGCTCCGCTGACATTTCCCGCCCACAATTTCAGGTCGGGTTCGAAACAGACTCAGCTTGCCACTGATCGGGGATCTCCGTTTAAGGAAAGTCTTGATGATGCCAGCAGTTTCCCCAAAAGAAGCCCATCCAAAAGCAGATCCCCCACAAGCTGGGACACACTCAAGTGGCTATGGGACACACTCCGGCCGTCAAATCCAGTCAAACAGCCTCTAGCAATCCTTCAGAACAGTTCCAGCACTAGGTCCAACTCAGTTTTGACTCACATGCAACTTCGGAATCAACAGGAGGACAAGACTAAATATGGGTGGCAAACTAACCCCTTTTGGCGGGGAATCAATTTTCAGCTCAGAGGGGATTGATTCTGAGCGGATTGGCCAACAATGTCTTTCCGTTTGCCACTGGAATAGTTTGCCCAAAAAGTGAAGCCCATGACTCAAAACTAGGTCCTCCAGTAGAGAGGTTAGAATAAGTTGGTACTTTTTTGTCTGTAGTCTATTTTAGAAGGGCAACCCTCCCAACAAAAAATTGGAAAAAGGGCACCTAGCTGGGGGACCTAGAAAAGGTGAGTCTTGAAAAATCGACATATCTGTGCTGCCCTCAGATCCCCCACTAAAAGTTTAACTTTTAGTGGGTCAAATGGAAATTACCAATAAACACTAAAAGGCTAGACAGCTAAGGAACCTGATGGCTGGGTGCCACCAAGATATCGCATTCCAACACGTTCGGCCCCGCCTGCGCGCAGGCCAAGGGTATCTTGCCCAGCCTGGCAAACGCCCCAAAAAACCTCGCTGCCTCCAGGTAGAACAATAGGTGGATCTCAGTAACAAGAGCCCAACTCATGCTGCCAACTCAGAAAAGGGGGGCAAGCAACAATCACAAATGACGGCCCCCCCGCCAAAAAAAAAAGGCCTCTCTCCCTACAATCGCTCCAAATCAAAGCAAGATTCCTTGCTGGGTACCTTTCATCTTTCAATCAAGGGCTCGGACGTGTGTATGTTCAATTTATGTTCACAAGGATACCATTTCATTACCTAGGGATACATAGCCGAGCACTCCAAAGCTATGTGTTTGAGCCCAGCTTCCTCTTGCTTTCCCTGCAAGATCCACCGCGAGTGGCAAACAAATGATGCATCACAAAAGTGTCTGCATTTGCGGCATGTTTATGTCAAGCTCAAATCTGGAAAACCAGCCAGGACTCCAATGTTGGCATCGCGAATGCCTCCAAGTCAGTAACACCTGACTTAGGCTTCTTGTGCAAAGTTGCATGTCAGTCTATGTTCATTCAGGCCCGCCGTGACATTGCATACTGATCATATTCTACGTAGCTATAATTTAGTAACCAACAAACACGCACCAACACATATGGTGGGATGACAATTCTGGGACCTTTGTCGATGCCCGATTTGACATGTTGAGCGCCTTCAAACCGGACACAAGGTCGGGGTTGCACACAAAAGGGGTGCCTTGTTCCGCTGATTCTCTTGTGACGTGGCACCAAGATCAAAACTGGCCTTTGAAAGGACACAAGTTGGGTAAAGCTCGCCTTAAACCCAAACAATCTTGGAGAAGGGGTCCAAACAGCTGGGACCATAGGTCTCCTTTTGGTAAAACAAATGGCACTGCGAAATTCCAGAACCCAACCTGCAACCGGTGCAACCCCTCGATTCTCAACCAAACTGCCCAAAGAAATGCCGGCCGGGCAGGATGTCCACGATCCGCGCATACAGGGTCCGGGGTTGGGCCATGAGCCGGTTCCGGCTGGCCAGGAACCTCAGCATTTGGACGTGTCTTTGCCCCACCGGCCCCCGAATCGATGACTTGTCCTTTGGCGTCGCCTGGAAGAAACCACCAAAAACGGGCACCCTCAAAAAGATACACACCCATTTGAGGCCCTCAAGGAGGTTGGCCTTGCTGGTGAGCCCCCTTAATGGTTTGGGGTCACCGGGCCTACAAAATCTCGGTTTGGCCCCTCTGGTTTTCGGTGAGTCCGCATGTCCCTCTCAAATGGACCATAGGAGGACTAGTAACTTTGGTGCCTCAAAACATTCGCAAACCAAAGATCCAAGCCGCAAAGGGTGGGAAGGGAACCCCGGAAAGATCAGTGAGGCGGGCTCAGGAGGTAGAAAAGGCTTGTAGAGCCTCAACAAGTCTGCTTCAAGGCTCGTTGAAACTTGGTTCTTTCCTGACTCATGATCTTATGGTTGTCAGGGGCCCCCCAAAGAGGAATTGGACCCCCCAAAAAAGAAACCCTATTGGCCCCTAATCTTTCAGCTCGCGTTAGCTTTTCGCAGCCTCCATGCCTGCATGTGTGGCAGCAAGCGCGCCGTACGGCCTGGTTCGCGGCCTTCGCCCGTTTCCGCAAGGTTCTCGTACGGCTTCTTCTGCTTCACGAATTCGGCGCACACGCCCTTTATTGCCTCCTTAGCCAAGGCCTTGTCATGCGCGGATGGCCACTCCTCCGCCTTCGCCTCGCAAGATCCTCTGCCTGTGACCGCCGCCTTCCGCTCCTCCGTCAGCTGTACCCCCAACCACAGGATATGACACAAGTAATTAAGCCATATCAAATTTCAACAATATGGGATGGGGGTGTTGGTGGTGCTGGTATTTTGCGGGTGGCCCCGTTGGAGAAAGAAAAGGCATGCCCCTCATGGGACGGCTTGGTGTGTGCTTTGCTTCCAAAATGCCGGGGTGCAAAGCAACTGGTTTGCCGGGCACCTGGTTTACCAGTCATAAAGGTCGGGATGCCGCCTCCAAAACCAAAGACCGTTCTCCAAACCTCCAGACTGCTCATGTAATTTGAACTCGTAATGCGATTCAAACAAAAACCGTAAAGTTCAATAAAGACAAGCTCGTTCCGACATCTCACTGAGCTATCTGGGAGGAGATGACCCTGACTGTTTCTGGTTTATGTGAGAATGGTGCGGAATGCTGGCTCCTGTGCATTGATTGGTCGATCCAAGCACGTTCGGTATGCTGTCATGGTTAAAAACTCTCTGACGAAAGTTCAAGAGACTGAGCCACTTGATACAGATTTGAAAACTGTTTATGGCTTGTGGGATCATGGTAGCGACCATTCGCTGGGGCGAGTTCGCCCAGCCAACCTGGACAAAGGCAGCTTCCGAACTCGAGTCGGGAGCTGAGATCAGCTTCAGCTCGGCCAACACAAACGCGAATGGAGAAAAAATGAGACGCTTCAGGTCCCGCATGAATCCCAAGGTGGGGCAGCACCCCCCTACTTGAAGCAACCAGGAGGGCTTTTTGGGACCAAGGTCTGGCAACCAAAATGGCCCTGCGCTGTCAACATGGACCTGCCCCTCACTGGTTTCATGAAGATAGGTTCTTTAGGTACTTATTTGGGTGTGGGTCAAAGTTGAACCACCAGGGGAGTGCAAGTTCTAGTCCTTGTTCTAAATTAACAGGGTTCCATTTGGTGCCATTTTGGATACCTATTCTTGACCCACACTTTCCTGAGTGGATTGGCCAAACGGAGTCCAAGGGCTTTGTTTGCCACCAATCATATCTTCCCAAAACCTCGGGCGCCGGCTGGCTGCAGCAGTACGAAGCAAAGACCTGAGCGTGCGCCAAAAAGTCCCGCATGAGGTCGGCATGGGCTCGGCAAGGCAACTGCAAAAAAGTGGTGAGGGTGTATCTATGGGGGCTTGACCAGAATTTGAACCCCCAAACCATCCGCAAAGCGTAAGGCACTTCCCCGTCACTGGTTGGAACCTTCCTGTCGAGTTTACTGGCCCTCGGCTTCTAACTTGTTGGGCCTTTGGATTTCCATTCAAAGACCAAACCATGTCCAAACTGATGCCCGCCAAACAGTGCTAACTCGTGCGAGAAATGGAAACCCAGCCACTGACTTAACGAAAACCAACTGAGGAACCGGACGGCCAAGAAACCTGATATTAAAAGTTCAAGTTGTCAACTGGGCTGCCCTCAGATCCCCCGCTAAAAGTTCAACTTTTAGCGGGTTAAACGGAAACTGCCACAAATCACAGGATTCTGTCTGACATCATCCTCAGGGACGTCGTTGCCGATAAGCACCGACGAGTCGTGCGATCTTTGGACATGCCACAACCAAAATGGTCTTCCCAGCATGTGTGAGCCTTGGAACATGCCACCTGGTGTCAAAGACGAACGTCCGCAACGTGCCCGTACTGGACATGACACAAGTAGTGTCCTCCTCGGTGTTGTGTGAGACATTTGGTGAGTTGCCCATTGCACAAACAAAACGACAACACGCCCTTGTGGCTCCCGGTCCTGCCTCAGGGACGGTGCTTTCTGGGAACAATCTCTGGAAGAGGTCCCTGGCACGAGATCGGCACCCGCATCCCTGAAGCTTTCTTGCGACGAATAGGGTCTATTCGGGGCTGATCCTGTTTTTTGAGGGGGGGAGGACCATTCCCAGCGGGTCCGGGGTCCCTGACAACCCATACAAGCAGAGGGTTCAATGCCCTCAACTCACGTTGAAGCCCTCAACTCAGCCAGCGCCCATTGGGCCAGGTGGCACCAAACGTGGTCCATAGGTCAATCAGTAATTACCCCGAAAAGGCAGCAACGGGGGCGGTCCTGGGCAACAAATCCTGTTCATGGTCTTTTTGGGGTTGGTAAAATGGGAAACCACCATTTTTGGCAAGCCCCTAAGACACACCCTGTTGACGGGATCCCCGAACCACCCTGGACTTTCCATCAAAATCAGTCCTTCCTCAGCTTGCTTTCTTCTCAGGGTGGCGCGTTTAGACCGCTTAAAGCTGCCAGAAACCACCAGCGAGGATCCAACCGAAGCCTGGCAGCTGGTCCCGATGCTGCAAGATGGTTTCCAGTACTCCCGAGCCACTACCCCGGGCAGATACCCTTGATGGCATATACCCTTACGGTTGGTCCAAACCGCGACGGTGTTGTTTTCGGGAGAAGCCTTTTTTCTGTGGAAAGGCTACAAATTCTTATAGGTTCCTTCGAGGGAGTCTTTTTTACACATGTGGTTGTTGCAGGTATATGTTTTGTTTTCAGCTGCACGGTTCCGAGTTGTCACCCGTTGTTCCCACTTTGGGGTGGTTTTTCATCGATGCTCGACGCACCGCCGCGTTTTTTTTTTGGTCCACCGCCGGAGAAAGCCATCCGACGCCTACACTCCGAATCCGCCCGCGGGTCGCTTCCGCGTTAACCCGCGATGCCAAAAAGCCATCGGCCCGGGCGTGCGGGTCCCGGGCCGGGCGACAAAAAGATCCTCAGGCCTTGTAGTTGGGCTCGCTGTTCTCCACCTGTCATGGGGGCGAACTCATTTCGATGTTCTTTTTTTTACATGTAAGCCATAGCCAGGTATATCACGTCAAAGGTCTGTATAATATTGCAAATTATCAAAGGAAGTTTAAAGGAACTTCCGTGGTACGGAAACTAATTGAAGGGTAGCTGTTGAATAGAAAGATATTGTCTGAGCGCGCGAAAAGATAGAGAATGCGCAAAAGCGTGGCAGGGTGCAGGAAATCGCTGCTGCGGATGTGCGAAAGGTACCTCTGCCGCGACGCCTGTGCGGGACGGGCTCGGAACGGTCTCGGACGGGGACTATTGGCACGGCCGTGCGGAGGTTTCGCAAGGTTAGAATTTCGTGGCAGGTGCAGCACTTTGGCGAGCCGAGGTATAGATTTCGTGGCAGGCGCAGCACTTTCGCAAGGCCAAATAAAGATTTCGTGGCAGCCGCGGCATTTCCGCAGCGCTGGCACGGACGCATCGCAAATCCCATTGGCACGGGCGCGCAAGGTGGCGCATGCAGATTTCCTGGCAGGCGCAGCACTTTCGCAAGGTCAGGTACAGATTTCGTAGCAGGCGCAGCACTTTCGCAAGGTCAAGTATTGCCCGCCAAACCTTCAAAACATAGAGAATGCGCAAAAGCGTGGCAAGGTGAAGGAAATCGCTGCTGTAGATGTGCGAAAGGTACCAATGCTAGCTAACTCTAGCAGCTCGGCTCGAAAATCGCAACTTTCAAGTACGAAAGTAGTACGCGAAGTGTACTCTGGCAGCTCGGGCTTGAAAGTCGCAATTTTTGACCAAAATCGCAATTTTTGAGTACGAAAGTAGTACGCGAAGTGTACTCTGGCAGCTCCGGCTGGAAATCGCAACTTTGCAGTACGAAAGGAGTACGCGAAGTGTGCTCTGGCAGCTCGGGCTCGAAAATAGCAACTTTTCAGTACGAAAGTAGTACGCGAAGTGTACTCTGGCAGCTCCGGCTGGAAAATCGCAACTTTTAAGTACGAAAGTAGTACGCGAAATGCACTCTGGCAGCTCGGGCTTGAAAATCGCAATTTTTGAGTACGAAAGTAGTGCGCGAAGTGTACTCTGGTAGCTCGGGCTCAAAAATCGCAATTTAAGTACGAAAGCAGTACGCGAAGTGTACTCTGGCAGCTCCGGCTGGAAAATCGCAATTTTTGAGTACGAAAGTGCACGCGAAGTGTACTCTGGCAGCTGGGGTCAAAAATCGCAACTTTTAAGTGCGAAAGTAGTGCGCGAAGTGTACTCTGGCAGCTCCGGCTGGAAAATCGCAACTTTTAAGTACGATAGTAGTACGCGAAGTGTACTCTGGCAGCTCCGGCTGGAAAATCGCAATTTTTGACTACTAAAGTAGCACGCGAAGTGTACTCTGGCAGCTCGGGCTCAAAAATCGCAACTTTGAAGCGCGAAAGTAGTGCGCGAAGTGTACTCTGCTCCGGCTCGAAAATCGCAACTTTTACGTACGAAAGTAGGTTTCGCAAGCATCGAATGTTTGGATGCGCGAAAAGACAGAGAATGCACAAAAGCGAGCATCAGATGCGAGAAGCTGCCTTCTTTCCGAGCGCGTGCCATTTCAGGCCGCGAGGCGCTGCAGCATTTGCTTGAAAAGAAGTGCGGCTGGGAGGTTGCGGGGCCGAATGTTTTGGACATGGCATGTTCAAGGAGCAAGGCACCCCTGCTGAAACCAGCAACAATGCAAATGCTATAAGTCCCATTTGTTTCAGAAACTTCCGCCTCCCGGCTTTGCCGGCTATACTGGTACTTAATGGTACTTATATGGTACGTACATAGCCCAAAGGCTCATGGATTGCCCAGGAAATGGGGGCCCCCAACCCCCGGGGTGCACAGAGCCGTTTCGTAGTGTGCCAGGGCCCATTTGGGTGTGTTTTTTGAGGAAACCGCGATTCTTCTTCTGTTTTTTTTTGGGGGGGGGCTCCCGATTCCTAGTTTGAGACAAACCCAAAACAAACCCGCACAAGTTGTCTACTTGCCAAGTGCTTCCATAGGGCGACTGACTCCCTTTTGTAGGCCTTCATTCCGCAGTCTGTTGGTTCTCCATGTTTTCCATTGCTCGTTTGTTTGATTCATCGCATAATATGTGATATATTCTGTCTTAACTCAAAGTCTAGGGATATGGCTGGCAAGCGCCAAGAAACAAAGATCCTGCAGCTACACATGGTTTGCAGTTGCGCATCACGAGCCCCAGCGCGTCTAGTTTCAGCAGGTAAAGGCTCCTGACAGGAGAAAACAACTCCTCATGCGATGAAAGATGGCCACCAGTCCTGTTGTCCACTACGCAAACTGGGGTCCGGCATACTTGGGGCTTGGAGAGTTGCCCAAACCCGTTTCAAAGCAATGCCCAGGTGAAACCCAGCAAAACGAGTGGCCCCAAGGCCCCCTGCCCGAACTCCTGCCTCCTTTCCGCGGAAGCCCCCGATCTTGGGCGGCGGGGACAGGGACGCCGGCTTGTTGTACTTCCTCGGAGCATGGAGCCGATCGTTGCCAAGTGGTTAACTATGCCCCATGGAACAAGGGCGGATTGGTGGGCTATGGGTGGACGAAATTCATTTCGCACCACTTTGAAGCCATGAGTAACCATTGTTTGTTGGTATTTACAGGGGAATCATCCTTCCAGGGTTCCTTAGGTAGTGCAGGATTTTGTCCATCCAAAGTATCACCTTTGGGGCTTATCCTTGCCTTGCCAAATTGCCAGGCATAGCTCCGCTTTTGGCTCGTTTGCCCTTGTGGGTTTCCCTCTGGACCATCAAGTTGTCAATTGAAAGAAATTGAGTCGCCAGGTTTGGTCAGCATTTCCAGTCGGTTCATGAGGCTCGGATCTCGCAAAGGGTACATGAACGAGTTGCCATGGTCATTGAGCAACACCCTCCTGCAAGCAAGCAAGTCCCCTTGAAAACATTAGAGGAATCTCGCCCAAGCGCAAAATGTACTCAGCCCCTCACTCCACCCCAACCTCAAAAAGCTGGGTTCATCAAACAACTCCCAAGATGTTGATCATGGAGGAACCCTTGTCTCCCTGCAGGTATATGACCATCCGTACCAGCAAGTAAAGAGTGCTTTGGCTTCTGGTCCCACAACCAGGGCTAAGTATGCCCCCACCCATTTAGGTCTGTGTGCTTTAAACAAATACAGTTGCTTTGAAGGGAAAGCAAAAAGGTAAGCCCGAGTTTTTGTCCAAATCAGGAACCCCGGAAAATCCCAAGAAGCAAACATAAATACAAAAAAACACATACTCCCCCCCCAAAACAAAAAAAACAAAAAAACAAAGCAAGAAACACAGCACAAAGAGAGGAACAAAAAAAGCAAGCAAAGAGACGTGCACGCATTTTTTTGGGTGGGTAGGGGGGGGGGGGGTGGGGGGGTGCGAAAGGCAAAACAACCCTCCAAGAAACCAACTACAGGAAGTTCAGCAGGAAGCCCCTGATTCGGGTGGGGACTTTGGCTATAGTTTCCTGTAGACTTTCCTGGTTTCTGGTTTCTCTACGAAACTTAACCACCGCCCAAATCCCGCGCTTCCGCGCCAAACCCGCGCGCGAATGTCGGATCGAAAACGGCGATCGGAGCGTCTGGGCCGAGTTCTTCAGCAGCGCGCCGTAGTAGACGATGGCGAAGCCGCAGGTGGCCCAGGCCAACGGCTCGATGCCGTAGAAGACGTCGAAGTACTCCTCGATGGGACGCGCATGCGAAGCGATGGGATGGGATGGGACGTTTATTCCCTTCCCCCCCCCGGCTTTCTATGGGGGTCCATTTACCTGCTTCTGTGGGTTTGTGGGGGGTTGTGTGGGTTTTTATGGGTTCTTGTGGGTTAATTTATGGGTTTCTATGGGTTTCTATGGGTTCTTATGGGTTTCTATAGGTTTCGAGGGGTTTCTATGGTACGTTGGTCAGCTTCCCAGTGGGTGGTGGTCTTTTGGGAGGGTTGCCCATTTACCCTCTAAAAGAACCAGATCCAACCCCGTCTATGTCTCAAAATGGGCATGGGTCAGTTCCATTTACCAAGGCACCAATGTTTGAACCACAGCCA